GTCCCCTTCGGTGCCACTGTCTGCCCTGGGGACCCCTTCCTTGGACACGGGGGGTGGGAGAGTCTCCCCTGGGGATCACCAACCGGCCCAGGGACCCCCCTCAGACACCAGGCACAGAGATGGGGATCCCTGTCAGTGCCACTGCCCACCCTGGGGACATGCCTCAGGGACCAGGGATGGAGATGAGAGTCCCCTTTGGTGCCACCATCTACCCTTGGGACCTCTCTCGGGGACTGGGGGTCCTCTTCTAGGTGTCACCACTTGCCCCAGGGACCCCCGCTGGGCAGCAGGGATGGAGATGGGGATCCCTCGCTGGTGCCACAGTTCATGCTGCGGACCCCTCTTGGACACCAGGGTTGGGGGAACCCCCCCGTGGGTGCCACCAACCACCCTGGGGACCCCTCTTCGGCACCAGGGATGGGGGATCCCCTTCTAGGTGCCACCATTTGCCCTAGGAACCCCCGCTGGGCACCAGGAATGGAGATGGGGATCCCTCCCTGGTGCCATCACCCACCCTGGGGACCTCCCCTAGACAGAAGGGTTGGGTGAACCCCCCCCTCGGTTGCCACCACCTGCCCTGGGGACCCCTCTTGGGCACCAGGAATGGAGATGGATCCCTCCCTGGTGCCACCGCCCACCTTGGGGCCCTCCTCTAGACACCAGGGTTGGGTGAACATCCCCCATGGGTGCCACCACCTGCCCTGAGGACCACTCTTCGGCACCGGGGATGGGGCATACCCTTCTACGTGCCACCACTTGCCCCAGGGACGCCCGTTGGGCACCAGGAATGGAGATGGGGATCCCTCCCTTGTGCTCCCACCCACCCTGGGGACCTCCCCTAGACACCAGGATTGGGTGAACCCCCCCTGGGTGCCACCACCTGCCTGGAGACCCTTCTTTGGCACCGGGGACAGGGGATCCCCTTCTAGGTGCCACCACTTGCCCCAGGGACCCCCGCTGGGCACCAGGGATGGAGACGGATCCCTTCCTGGTGCCACCACCCACCCTGCGCCCTCCTCTAGACACCAGGGTTGGGTGAACATCCCCCATGGTTGCCACCACCTGCCCTGGGGTCCCCTCTTGGGCACGAGGGACAAGGGATCCCTTTCTAGGTGCCACCACTTGCCCCAGGGACCCCTGTTGGGCACCAGGGATGGAGATGGATCCCTCCCTGGTGCCACCACCCACCCTGGGGACCCCTCTTGGGCACTGGGGACAGAGACAGAGGATTCCCCCCCAACACCGTGACCCCGCCAGAAGTGACACGGGGTGCACGTTAGGGACTGCCAGGCTCACCCCTACCCCTCCAGCACCCCGGGGTGCTCCCTACCTTCCCTGCTGCCGGGCCCCAGCCCAGCTTGGCTGGACTCGACGTTGCCGTACATCGTCCCTGCGGTGTCACGGAGCTGTCGCCGGCGGGTGGCCCCGCTGATAAAGCCTCCAGGAAGCGGGTGACAGGGGGGTGCCGGATGCACCCCCACCCCGGGGATGGGCCTTGAAGGGGCCCCCCGAGCACCCAGCGGCTCTCTCTCTGCACCCCAAAGCTTGGCAGGAGGTGGCACCGATGGTGACAGTCCCCAGTGGGTGCTGGCAAAGACCCCAGTGTCCCTGGGGGGTCTTGGC